TTTGGCTCCATACTGCTGAATGCCCCCCCAGATGTTTTGTTCCGGTTTACACTAAGTCGCCTGCAGCACAAGTGCACGGTAATGACTTTCCCTGCATTGAGGAGCACCCTTATTTTATGTGCTTGCTCTTCACAATTTTTTTTAAAGGTTTGTCTTTGTTTCCCATGGTATTTCTTTGCTGGTGCGACTGAATGTTTTTTCTCTTTCTTTCCTTCTTCCTTTCTTTCTGTCTTTTATTTATTTATTTTTTGTGGTGCTGGGACTTGAACTCAGAACGTTGCACTTGCCAGGCAGGAGGAAGCACCACTGAGCCACGTTGCTGGCCTTGCATATTTTTTCATAGGTTATTGTGCATTTGAAGTTCTTCTTTTGTTAATGGCATGTTCATATGGTTTGTCTAGATTTGTTACAAATATTTCCTCAGATCATTTTGCTTAATTTTTATCTTTTTGGTGATTTTTCTTTTTTTTTTAGACAAGGTCTTGCCATGTAGTCCAGACTCACTATGTTGCCCAGCCTGGTCTCGAACTCATGGAGATCCTCCTGCCTCAGCCTCCTAAGTGCTATGATTACAGCTGTGCACCCCATACCTGGCTATCCTCCCGTGTACTATCAGTCATCCCTAGATTACTTGCAATACCTAATACAATGTAAATCTTCTGTAAATAGTTCTTCTACTATTTTGTTTAGGAAATGATGAACTGGAAGGAAAAGTCCCTACATATTCAGTACTGAAGCAACTTGGGGAGATATTTTCCATCAGAGGTTGGCTGATAGAACTCATGGATGCAGAACCCGTGAGTATAGATGACTGAGTACATATGTGAAGTCTCCCAGTAGCCTCCTGTTAGCCAGTCCTTTCTCCCAAACATAAAAGATAAAAAGGGCTGGGGATGTAGCTCAGTGTGAGTCTCTGGGTTCAGTCGTTAGTATTGAGGAAAAAAAGACGTATGGAATGACCTGAAGAACTCAGGAAAATGCTACACTTATAATTACTTTTGTTTTTTGTTTGTTTGTTTTGGGGGTATCGGGGATCAAACTCGAGTCCTTGCCCTTGCGAGGCAGACAGCAGAGCCACTGAGCGAAATCCCTGGCCCCACTTTTGTTTTTCTTTTTGAGAGAAGGTAATCTCTTTGTAAGTCAGGCTGGCCTGGAACACTAATGTTATCCCAGGCACCTCAAGCTCACTGCGATGCTCCTGCTTCGGCCTCCCTTGTGCTGGGATTATGAGGACTAGCCACATGAGGAAATGCAGAGCGAGGTCTGGCAGGGTTCCGAATGTGGAACTGCCGTGCCCCCTGCAGGAATCCAGGTGCTCCTCTCTCCTAGCACATCGCTTTGGTCACCAACCAGAAAGCTCAACTTAGCTTCAGAGCCCAGAGTGGGTCGGTTTTTTTTTTTTTTCATTAAGTAGGTGTGACTGATTAAATTACTGGCTATGCACTGAACTCCATCTCCAGTAACCTCCTCCCCAGAGATTAATGAGCGAGCTCCAAGTCCCCGCAGCTGACCCTCTCAGGATCTTTCTGATGGTCCATCCTGATGCTTTCCTTTCTCAGGGCCCTCAGAGAGCCACCTCACTAGCATAAACTCGGGCGTGATCCAGGAAGCTCACAAATGACAAAGCCATTTCCATCACTTGGGAAATTCCAGCACACAGTAGATGCTCATTAAATATTCGCTGAGCGAAAAGATATATTCAAAATTCCATACATGGTCAGAGGAAGTGTCAGTTAGGTACCTGGGTTCTTCCACCTGACAGGAATCCACACCTGCTATGCAGAACACATGAGGCTGTGGGAAACCGATGCTGTCTAGCATTCCCTTTGGATGACAACGTGACAAACTCCCGGCATTCTGGTTTCTCCTGCCACACACCTTGATAAGCTGACTTCCCACACGGCTTGATTATAGAAAGAGAATGTGAGGCAGGCTGCATGAGCGTGCAGCGTCTGCCTGTGTCGAGGTCTAATGAACCAATAAGCTGGCATTCTGGCTATGCGGTCCCTTGCACTCTTTGTGTCTTCTACAACTATAGTGATCTCCAACCAGTCCAATGCTGCCACCCTGGGGGTCTCTGGGAGCCCCTGGGAGCATCCAGCCCACTGCGCCTCCACATGTCAGGGTGCAGACTGCAGTGTTCCTGACGTTCCTTCTACAGAAGAATTTCAGGAGCTCCTCAGTGCCGGGGCCTGATCAGACCCTTGGATGCTTGTAGTGGGGACAACGGGGAGTAAAAGAAGACAGACAGAATTCAAGGTACAAGGGGACCAGGAAGAACCTCCCCCTAGTACACAGGCTCCACAGTCTCTTCAGTTGACCCACTTTTATTTGCCAGCAAGAAGTACAGCGGGAGGGGTCGTGTACTTTTCCTAGAACAGCTACCGCAGTAAGAATGAGGGAATAAACAATGGGGAACAAGTTAAACCTCACAAAGGGAGTTAATGGGGATTAAATCCATTAGGTCCTTCCTCATACCTGGATTCCTGCTTTTTTTTGTTTTGTTTTTTTGCTTTGTCCTCAGCAGATGTTATCTTCCCCACACAGCCAGGAAGCAAGCAGCCTTCCACCTAAGTCCCTATTCTTTTGGTTTTGTTTTGTTTGTTTGTTTGTTTGTTTGTTTTTTGAGACAGGGTCTCACTATGTAGTTGAGACTGAAATGGAACTCACCATGTAGCCCAGGCTGGTCTCGAACTCACAGCAATCCTCCTGCCTCAGCCTCCTGAGTGCTGGGATTACAGGCATGCGCCACCAGGCCCGGCTCTAGGTCTCTGTTCTTAAAGCAGGTCCCACCAGCCTGGAGACTGTGGGAACTAAGTCACACAGACTGGTCCCCAACACCCTAAATTGGACCTGGCTGACGTGAATGTAATGTTAAGAATTTATGTCTAAGATGTAGTTGTAACGAGCAAGCTAATTAATTTCATTGTATTTGACTTGAAGAGAGAGCACTTGGAAGAATGGGTTCTACGGACAGGGACAGTGACAGTCTGGGCCCCAGGGGCATGAAGTTAGAGTGTTTATCTGGACCCACCCAGGGTCTGGAGACAGTACTGCTCCACAGAACTGGCAGGGACCAGAGAACCATTCTGTTCAAGAAAACCGAGATCGGTGCTCCTCTGCGCCTGAGTAAGGAAAGATTGGCCCTCACCCTGTCAACCTAGAGCCGACTTAATCCTCATCAGGCAACTTTCTCATTACTAATCAGACCTCTGGCTCATCTTGCCTTAGCCTCTTAGGCTGGTTTATGCATCTGCTTTTATGACTTTGGCCCAGAATCAGACCGCTGACAGAATTTGGTTGAGCTACAGAAAGAATGGTGTTGTCATTCCTGTCCGCCTGTGAGGAGCTGGCCTCTATTTAAATTTTACTATTTATTTTAGCTTTTGCAGCCCTGGCAAACTAAGGACCTTGTGCACGCCAGGCCAGAGCTCTACCATGGAACTCCCCTGCCCATCCCTGGCCTCTTTCCAGATGCACGTATTCGCCCCATAAGGACCCTCAAACTGCAACCTCCCAGCTCAGGGATCTGCTCTGCGGGGCCCTGATGCTTCCCTCTTTGGATGCCCCTGTGCCTGGGATCCTCTTTTTTTTTTTTTGGTACTGGGGATTGAACTTGGGTCCTTGCAAGTAAGGCAGGCCACTGAATCCGCTGAGCTAAATCCCTGCCCCCAGCCTCCGGGGAGCTTCTTGATATAAATCCTCAAAGCAGAGTGCTTTCAGCAGGGTGTGCTAGCACATGTCCGTAATCCCAGAGCTCCGGAGGCTCAATCAGGAGGACCAGGAGGCCAGTTGGGGAGTTCGAGCCTGGCCTAGACCATGTAGCAAGACCCCATCTAAAAAACAGGCCCGTTTTCTTGGGGGGATTGAAGCCAGGGCTTTTGCCGGAGATACATTCCCCAGGCACCCCCACCTATTGTGTGACAGAGCTCAGTAAATGGCCATAGCTAGGTTTGAACTTGTGATCCTCCTGGTTTACAGGCACCACCATCCTCAGGAGAGTTTTTTTTGTGTTTTTTTTTTTTTTGACAGGGCCTCACTATGTAGTTGAGACTGACCTGGAACTCACTATGTAGCACAGGCTGGTCTTGAACTCCCAGTGATCTTCCTGTCTCAGCCTCCTGAATGCTGGGATTACAGGCGTGCACCACCACACCTGGCAGGAGAATATTCTCATTAAACTGAAATTAAGCCAATCACTTCCCAGATCTTTCCTACTGGTACTTTCAAGAAAGGACATAAACACGAAGGGGGCCTGCCCTCTCGCCACCCCTCAGTCTCCCTCTCCCTTTCCAGTGTCTTCTTTGGCAACGAAATACCACGGACTCCACTCAGGACACTGGCACTGTGATTTCTGAGACCTGAGCTATCAGGTGCATCAAAAGGTCCTGATGCGGATGGCCTTAAGCAGCTGCAGCTCTGCTGTCTGGCTGGTGAGCTTCTTTCCCTCTTTGGTGAACACTTTGTCTTCTAATCCCAGGGACAGACAGGGTCCTTAGCTGAGGACCAGCATACAGTGCCCCTGGGACATCAGACTTAAGTGGTAAAGAATAAAGGCTACCAGAGGGCCAGGGATGTAGCTTAGCAGTATTGCGCCTGCCTTGCAAGCACAAGGTCCTGAGTTTGAAACCCCGTACTGGGGTGGGGGAACGGCTACCAGAGAATTGGGAAGGTGTCTTACTTAGGCACTTAGCATGTGGTCAAGTAAATAGCAGTTTCCATGGAAGAGGAGAGAGAGGAGGGAGAAAAACTTTTGCTGAGGGCTTTTATGGCCTTCTGCTTCTGGCCTCTCAGTGTTGCATATACGGCAAGATGGTTTTATCGAACGGGAGGTAGTGACCTGGTTTCCCTAGGAATTGCCTCACATTCTGGAATGCGTTTTTGTCATCTGGAGCCTTCCTCAAGCCAGAGCTGACTGAAGTACTGTCTTTTATTGGCGGTTGACCTAATCTAGCAAACCGTTCCCATCACTCTTGCTCCCCACCCGGTCCCTCAGCTCCTCCACTCCCTCTTTCTCCTCGCCTGCCTGTCCCTCCACCCCACCCGCAACCCACCCGGGTTGAAAGTTCAGGATGTGATGTTATCCCTGTCTGCGGACGCCAAGACGTCGCCGGGGGCCACTCTGCGAGGCCACGTGCTTGTCCCCCTGGAAGAGGAAGAGATCCCCGCGCCGGGTTCTGTTCCACTGCTCTAAGCCGGCGATGCCCGCTTCCCCACAGGCTGCCCCTCATTAGCATGAGCGGGGGTGGGGGTGCGGAGCGGGGCTGGGGGAGAGAAAGGCAGCCAAAGCCCGGCTCTGTTTTCGAGCCTTGGAGCCCTGTCCACGAAAATGACAGCTAGAGCCTTCTGGCTGCTCTGCTTGATCGTGGGATCCTCCCCCGCAGCCCCGGTGGCGGAGAGAAAAGGTAAGATCGCCGAAATGCAGAGCCCCGGGGAGGAGAGGACGGGGGGGGGGGGGGGGGCGAGGGGGGGGGTTTGTTCCCTCATATTTCTTCCTCAGAGTTTTTTATTCCTCTGTCTTTTCACAGAGGGCTAGGGCCACAAAGTAGAGGTGAACAGTCTCTCCTGAACCCACACGAGCCTCCTGCCAACCGGCAAAAGGGGTGGCAGGAGTGGGCCCTGGAATTGGGAAGAATAGAAGGTCTGGGAGCAAAGAGGAAATCATCATTTAGTCCATCAGTGGAGAATAAAATGAAATAGGAACTTTAATAAAACTGCCTGGCTTTCACTTTATTGCCAAAATACCCCAAGATCCGTCCTGAAGACCCACGCACATTGCATGCCTGAAAGTACTGAGGGACTGAAGAAATCGGGCGTTCTCTGTAGGATCATGTTTTTGTTTTGCTTTTATTGGGATGTTCTGTTCGCTTCACTATCTTTGGGAAAAAGAGCTTCCGCAACACTGGCAATTTACTTTGGGTTATTTTTCCACATGGAAGTGGACCGGCTTCAGAGGCATTTACCCCAAATATCGGACCATCTTCCCCGGGGCAACAGACGGTGGTGTCAGTGGGGAAGCAGAGGGCAACAGTTGAAGGGCAGGAACTGGATCGCCTCCAGCACTTCGCTCAGCTGCGGGAGGTACACCCTTCACCACAGCGAGATGCCGCGGCTTTGCCAGAACATGAACTCCAGCCAGCTATTACTGAAGGGTGGACGCTGATTTCAAAGGAGATTATCGATTTGGCAACAACATAAACCACTTTAAATAAAGAGCTGACAGAGCTGCAGAGAGGCCGGCCAAGCTCCTTCGTGCTAGGGAGTGAAGAAAGACGTTCCCTGAATTCTTGCGCCTGACTGGAGGGCTGTGGGACCCAGGAAAGCGGAGAGGTTACATTGTGTAACGGCATGGCAGGCTGCCCAGTTTCCAAGTTGGCTGAAGTGTGCTCACTAACCTGTGTGCCGCAGAGCTGGGAAAAATCATTCATGATTTTGAAAATATGTCTTCATGCCGCATCATTTAGGGGATTTTCTCCACCATCTGCTGGGGGGAAAACGGAAGTAATGTGTGCTTTTATACTTAACCAGGGGCCCCTGCCTCCTGGGCAAACTTCTAAAAACCCTTCTAAGCTGAGGTTTAGCAGTAAGCGGTGGCCAAGAAGCCAGATGAAAACCTACTCAGTAACGCTCAATTCTGCAGACCAAGATGACAGTGTAAACACGAATGGGAAAACCAAATAGTTGTGTTGTCAGGGGCGCTTAGACAATTAGGAGAACCTGTAACACGAGACGCCCCCCACCCGGGCATGCTCTTGGTGCTTTCCCAACAAACTGTACCAAAAAGGCGGACGTTTACATACGCACGTAGGTATGCGTTTATACATAACTATGTTTTAAGCGGAGGGCAAGAAGTTTGTTATCGAACCAGTCATCAGAAATTGGAGTTCTGCAACAAACGGGCTGTAATCTGAAAAGCTAGATTTAAAAAGGTTCCTTAACAAGATAAAATGTTTCCATCAGGCCTCTGATTCTCCATTTGGTGGGCAGACTTTTTCTGGGCTGCTCCCCTTCGGAGAGGGCCGTCCTCGGGGAGCGAGGGAACGCGCCTCTCCGACCCCAGGGCGGCCTCCGGGCCTCCCCGCCGCGCCCTCTGCAGGTGTTTAACCCCCTCTGCCCGGCTCCTCTCCCCGCAAGGAGCCCTTTCTTTCCCCCCGGGCCTCTCGTCCAGTCCCGGCCTCCGCCTCCTCTCCGCAG